TATTTCAATTCAAAGAAGACTCAATAACTCTAATCCTACTTATGCAATGGCTCTGAAATTTTAAACATAAACAAACTATAACTAGACAAAATAAACCCTATCATTAGACCCCACAGAAAATTAAAAATTGACAAAAATACCCCTACTGTCCAAAAATACAGAAATACATAAAATATCATAAAATTCCAATTTTGACTCTTCAGCTCCTGCATCAGGGGGTGCACAAGGGGGTGTTAATAGAAAGTTATTTAAATCACTTTTAATCAATATGCATGGTGTGGGTATAAACATTGCATCACAAACATAGATATTGCATCCACAGTGTGAATAAGGATGTGCACATGATGAAATAAGAAAGTGATTCTATACATGCACATATACTTGATTAAGTTAAGTGTACCAGTGATGTCAAAAGGCTTAGAATAAAAAAAGAACTAACATTTACACTGATAAACTCACCAATTGCCATTGCAACAGAATAAGGGTCTTTTGTAGCCAACTCCGAAATAATTTCAAGGGAATACCGTACAGCAACAGAATCAGAAAATGAAACACTGTAGTAATAAGAATGTCATAATTTCAATATATTAATTACATCACAATAATAATTAATCCATCAGGATAATAAAACTGTAATATAGATGCCAAAACAGAATGGAAACAAGTATAAGAAACAATTCTAAGCATAACATGATAAAACATACATCTCAAGATTCTCAACAGAAGAAATGATGGAATCATTCAACAGATTTAAACAGATACCATGAAAAACATGATGCACAAAACTGGGAGGCACAATATAGGAATCATCATCATCATCATCCATGCCTTATCCCAACTATATGGGGCCAGCTACATGAATCCTGTTTTGCCAATCCATTCTATTTAAAGTCATATTCACTGTTAAATTTATTAGTGCTTAAATCATGTCTTACTACTTCTATCCATGTCCTTTTTGGTCTACCCCGAGTTCTTCTAGCCCCTTCAATATGTAATAAATCGCTGCTTCTAATTGGTGCAGTTGGTGGTCTTCTATGCACTTGCCCAAACATCTTAGTCTACACTCATTTTATCACCTATTGGAGCTTCTCCTAGGTTCCTATGGATAACTTCATTTCTGCCACATTCATTTTCTAGACATGTTCTTTCTTGACTACCCAAAAATATGAGGGTACTTTTGGAAATAAAAATATTATTGAAGCAGTTGGGGACTTTTCCTTGGGTCGCTTTAATAATAGTGAGAATAAAGTCCCAAGAAACATTAAAAGTGGTGGGGCCCATGCTATTTTGAATGGTGAGGAGAGCATAAATTTAAGTGAGGCGATGGAGTTAACCTCTCAAAAGACAGTGAAATTAGGGGAGAGGCTATCTCCTTGGAACACATGGAAGGAAAAAATAAGGATAGAGTGGGGGAAGAGTTGAAAGAGAAAGAAGAATCTGTAATTTCAGAAGACCAATAGGCAACTCAGGGTGGTAAAGGAGATGAAGGTCTGACCGAGGATCGAGTTTTGAAAGCCATTCTCATCAACAAGGCTGGGGAGATTTCGAAGACACTTTGTTTCAGTTTGGGAGTCTTGAAAAAGAGAATGTTTAAGCAGAGTTGAAGAGTTGGGTGTGCATTTCAGTCTGAAAATTTTGGGAAGGGGACTGGTCGTAAGGTTCTTGAGGAGATAGATCAGCACGGAAGTCACATTGAAAGTTCTGGCCTAAAGAAACATTGTGTTGGAGGGAAGAAGGAGAAGTCAAGTTTCTGACCAGCAAACAGGTAAGTTTCTTTATTTTGGTGATTTCGAAGTCGAGCTTTCTTCCATTTCTTCCTTCTCTTCCATCTTGTCACAGCAATGGAGTTTGGAGATGGAGAACCAAGGGGCTTTTTTTTCAGAAGTCCAGATGAAGGGAGGGAGATGAATTCTAGGGAAACGGTGAAGAACTCAGTAAGGTGGGAAGGGGAGGGCAACAAAGGAATGTTAGGTATGTCTGGCAGTGAAGGGGATGACAACAAGAGTGATTGATTCTTGCTGTGTTGAGGGCACGAAAGAGGCTCTGGACAAGTTGACAAATTTGACTCATCTTTGGAGTGTGAGGTTTTCCACCAGTTGGAAACAGCAGTTGGTAGGATTGGAATCCACTTAGGTTGGAGAAGAAGTGGACAAGGAAGGAGACACTGTAGACTGTACCTTTAGAAGGGGTGAAGAAAGCTAGAGAGACAAACAAGCTTCATTTTGTCCATGTTTCGAAGGTTTTCTCAAGGCTAAAAGATGGATTGATTGGGGCAGGACCCTCCAATAAATATAAAAGAGTCGACAAGAGGAAGAGATTAAAAGTTTTGGACGAAAAGAAGGGTGATGAAAGGAGGGGGATGGAGCATCAAGCTGCAGAAGGGGCGGTAATGTTGACCCCAGCAAAGGTAGGTCTAGAAGTTAAGCCAGGGCCAGGGGATAACGTCGACCCCAGCAAAGGAAGTCAAGCTGGTGAGAGTAGTTTCGATTTGTCTCAACAAGCTGATAAAGTTAAGGAGGGGGATGCAGTGGAGCTTAAGAGTTTGGTGGACAGGGAGGTTAGAATCGGCAAGAGTCTAGGGCTTTTCTTTTGGGGAGGTGAAGAGTTCTCTAGAAGAGCTTCCGAAGCTTTTGAAAAGAGTAAAAGGGAAGAGAGTGAGAAGTTGTGACGAAAAGAAGAAAAAGTCTGGGACGAGGACGATGACGGATGTGACGAGGCGTTTGAACCTGAAGATTAGACACTTTTTTGAAGTGGGGGGTGCACTGTTTCTCTTTGTTAGCTTTTGTGCTGTTGTAATCCTGTTGTGGTTTGTGATTCAGATGTTATCTTAACACCCCTGTTTGGGTTGTATCCTATTTTTCTTTTATTTTATTAATAAATTTTTACTTTTACTCTTCAAAAAAAATGATAATGACCACTCTTTCCACACCCCTGTTTCCTCTTCTGTTTGGGCATCAACAATCAGCAATTAAGAATATTGGACAATTGAAACAAGGAGGCAATTGATTGGGTTGGTCATGGGTTGGGATCAGACTGCTCTCTATCTGGGCTCAGGCTACCCAAGGGCTAGGCCAGGCCAGGCCCAGCCCAAGAGGTGAAATAACCCAGGGTTCTAGGCTCCAGACCAGCCCAAGGAGTGAGAGTCAAAGCTCAGACCACATAAAATTTTGGATTAGATCAGTCCATGATCAGTCCATGCTCCAGTTGAGCCTGTCCAAATTGCACTCCTACCTATATCTAAACCAAGATCCATGACCAATATACCTATATCCAAGTCCATACG